CATCACCTCCCCAATACAGAAAGAGCTTTAAGAAATAAGAATCAAGGTGGTAAAAGTGGAATTTTCAGCTACTGCTGCTGCAGTATAAACCAGAACTAACTTTCTACAGGGCACCTTGGCAATGTGTAGCAGGGTTCTGCACAGACGCTGCCCCACGAAGGCGTTCCTGAGAACTCCCTGTAGAGAAACAATTACATGCCCAAAGGCAGAGCTACAATGATGTCTGTCACTGTCTGTTTATCAGAGAAAAATTCAAAACAATTTAAATGACCAACTAGGGAATGACTAGAATAAGGTAAGTCCATGCATACAACTAAAGACGATGCAGTCATGAAAGTGACATGGGTAAGAATGTTCAATGGCATAAGACAGGCATGTACGGTGTGCTGTTAAGCGAAAGGGAGGCTAAACGGAGTATGATCTCATAGATATGCATAGTTATGCATTAAACAAAAAAAGAAAGGCTGAGTGGATATGCACCAGGAGGTCATTTCTGAGTAGACGGGGCTGGGGATGATTTTGAACGTGGTGGCTCAGAACACAGGTATCACACATTTTAAGCCCTGGGCTCAACTGCAACGCTGCCACTTAATAGCTAGGTGACCATTGGTAACAAACAGGGCCTCGGGTTTTCTCCCTACAAAATGAAAATAACCATACCTTCCTCAGTATTTCAAGAACTTTGCATGACGTTTACTAAAACATCTAAGCATGACGAGCAGCTTTTATAATTCTCTACTACAATGAACACACATTACTTTTATGCATTAGCAAATAAATCAATCCCTAAGGGCCCTCCCTAGTCTCTGCCTCCCCAAGCTGGGAGCTTTGCTGGTTTGGCCAACCCAAGGCTGGGGCAAAACCTCCCTCCCTACTGTACCTAAAGGCACCCTGACTACCACCAGACTCTGCTGGCTTGATCCAATCAGATAAGCCCCCGAGGCAAGGCAGGGGCCAGAACCGCCCAGGGCAGGAAGGAGGGTGGCATCTGGGGCAGACTCACCAAGGCAGGGTAGGAGGGATAGCCTCGGCACTTGGCCCACACCAGCTCCAAGGGCTCCAGGTCTCCACGGTCTTCAAAGGGCATCAGGAGGCTTCTGCCTGGGGGTGGGGGAGGGGAGGAGACAGTGCCCGAAGGGGACATGGAATGGTGCCCAGGAGGCCTGCATGTGGCCTCCATTTGACTGGGGCAGCCCAGCAATAAGTCAGCAACACCCCCTGCATGCTTCCTCTTCCCTGCCCCTTCCTCAGAAGTTCTCAGACTACATTAGGGGTTGTTCTGTAAAGGGCCAAAGAGTAACTATTTTAGGTTTTGTGGACCATGGTCTCTGTTGCAACTATTCAACTCTGCTTTGCAGCAGGAAAGCAGCCATAGATAATCTGTAAATGAATGAGTAGGCTGCGTCCCAATAAAACTTTATTTTTGGATACTGAAATTTGAATTTCTTATCATTTTTACATATTATAAAACATTCTTCTTATTTTTCAATCATCTGAAAATGTAAAAACCATTCTTAGCTCAGGGGCCCTACAAAAACAGGGGCCCTACAATAGGCTATAGTTTGCAGACCTCTGGGCTAGAACCCTAGGATGGGGTTCCTTGGAAGAATGTCACTGTTTCATCACCAGGGCCCCAGGGAGAAGGACCATAACCCAGCTTGAGCAGAGCCACAGATTGCTCTCCGGGCCTCCCCAAGTCGGGAGGCCTCACGATGGAGGCTCACGGAACATCCCAGTAATATTACTTGCTAAATGGATTCTTTTCTGACAGGGCCACGCCTGGCCATCAGGTCACCTGGCTGCACAACACTCAGCAGAGCCAAGCAGGTCTGCAGGTCCTTCATGTGCCTGCTCTGTAAAAGCCTTCTCCTGGGTGTCCTGCCGGGGGCAGGCACCATGTCTCTCCAGCTCCCTTTGTTCTGCACCCAATGCACCAACTAGCACACCTGGATGGGTGCTTCACAAACGCTTCTGAACCCACAGAGGGCCCTCCCCTCCCCCCACCCCCCACTCCCGCACTTCTATAAACTGGGAATGGGGAGGTGACCACACTTAACCAAGGGAATAGGCACAAATCTCAGAGTGGAAATTATGTTTCTAAGGAAACATTACCACCCTCATTTATACAGAGGTGCCAAAAAAATGCATACATGTTTTAAGAAAGGAAAAAACTATTAAAATTGTAATACTCAATATACACCAATAACAAAAAATGAATACAAGTCGTGTATACATTTTTTGGGGGACCCCTGGTAGTTTTTAAAAAATGTACTGCTAATCATGAGGCATTGTTTTCTACCTATTGAATCAATAGCAATAACAACAAAAAGATAAAATCTAATCCTGAAGAGGCAGGCTGTGGGAAAACTGGTGCAATCGTGTGCCGCTGAGGCAACTGCAGACCAGCCCGATCCTTCCAGAATGTAATTTGGTGGTATGTCTCAAGAGCCATAAAAAAAAAGAAAAAAAAAAAAAAGTATGAACCATCTGCTCCAGTAAATTCCTTCCCTGGGAACTTGTCTAGAAAAACGACTTTAAAAACGAATAAAAGGACTTTGAACAAAAATATGGGTTCATTATATTACATAAAATGTCAAAGTTGGAAATAACCCAATGTCTAACGATAGAACGGTTAAGTAAATTATAACTCATTGAAAGATACACTGTTCTAACAATGTGAGATATATAAAGATTATGTCAATATGAAAAAAGTATGAGATAACATTGAAAAAGGAATACAAAAGAGCATGTGCTTTAGATCAGCCTTTTGTTAAAAAACGTGCCTGAAATAAACAGAAGGCAACAAACACAGAGAAATGAAGACAACTGTGTTAAGGTGATGGAACAGTGGGAGGTCAATTTCCTTCAGCATCATTTGAATAAGTATGTGGTTTTTAAAATAAGAATAAAATGTCACCACCGGAGCACAGAGTATGTGCCACCCCCTCCAGGTTTTGTGTTAGATGCTGCACAAACGCATCCAGACATGAGGCGTGCCTCCTGGGCGCTGACACAGACAGACAGCAAGGACACACGCACGCGTGCATTCATTAACACACATACAGGAGAATTACTGGTGCTAAGGAAAGATCAAGCAGCTGAGAAAGAAAAGAGGGAAAGAGAAGCCCTGAAGCCTGTGTGTGATGAAAGCTTCAAAGACAGGGCCAGATAGTGCACACCTGCCAAGGGAGGGCTGGACAGAGCGCTCAGAGGACAGCCCACCCTGCACCTGCCCCACCTGGGCACCACCCAGCCCCCTTCTTTGGCCCTGCCCTGCCCTTTATTCCCTTGGTCTAAGGAGACAAGAACCATGTATTTCATGGTTTGGACCAGCTGGAGTAGCATGTCTCACGAGGGGAAGGCTGACGTCACTGGATCACATGAAATTACAGGGTTATGTGTGAGATTCGGTGATACAGGCTATCCCTGATGACTCCAGTGAGGGCAGACTGACAGTATCTATCTCGATTACAAGTGCACACTTCCTTCAATAAGGCAATTCCACATCTACAGATATACTCCCCACAGATACAAAATGATCTATGTACAAGGTTGCTCACGGCAACGTTGACTCTAATAAATAGGAGAAAATAATCTGAATGTCCATCTGTACACGATGGCATACCTGTAAAATGGGACACTAGGCAGACGATAAAAAGCACAGAAACGTCTCTAAGATATATCATTAACTGAACACAAAAAGTATGGTTTAGAGGAACATGTGTATATAGGCTTCTCTACTCACTCTCTTAAATATACACACAGGTTTTCGCTTGTATATGTATGGATTACATCTGAAAAGACACAAAAGAACTTCTAACAGTGGTTGTTGTAGGGACGGGAGCACTGGCTTTTCATTAACGCATCCTTTGTGTCTTTCTGATTTTTGTTACCATGGGCATGTATTACCAATTCAAATTTAAGATGAATTAAAAGAAAAACAAAGAATATGAATGACCTGGGTGGGAGGACCGTGTCCCTGCCCAGTGCCCGAGGGTTTGGGGGACCTCAAGGTCTGGCTGGCTGCAGCCCACAGAGCTGGTTCTTTGCAAAGCCTGCCCCCACCCACCCCGCCTCACCGATCCACCTCTACACCATTCCTCACCTGAACCATTGTAGTCAGAGTCTCCATTCACACCTTCCAGGAAGGGCACTCGAGACAGGGCTGGCTTCCCACGGCTGCGTTTGGGGGGTATCAGACCACTGCATACAGAGCAGGGAAGGAGAGGGGTTGAAATAAGCAATTTCAATGACTCACAACTCCATTATTGCTCCCCATGGATGACAGGAGTGGAGCTGCAAAACCCTTCGAGGACAATGGTTTCTCACCTTTCCCTAAAAACTCATACTAGCCATGATACACTTCTGACCAGAAAGTTCTCACAAGGCTTTGAGCAACCAATTCATTCATGTGGGAGGGCTGAACCTGGCAAGAGATGTCTGCTCCCCTGCTTGGGGACCTTGGACTTCATCCAGAGGAAAGGTCACCCCAGGCATTTGTCAATCCTTTCCGAGTTTAAGCAGAGGGGCTGTGAGGAGGACCCTTCTCACATCTGCCCAGAATCCTTGGCTCTGATTCACATTGCTTGTTCCTTAGAAACCAATTTATCTTTTGGAGGTATAAAAATCTGACTGTTTTTCAAATTTTTTATAAAGGATAGGTATAAGAGTTAGAAAAGACATTTTTCAATCAGAAAAAGAAATCCACTTCTCACTTCCACTTCACATGTGTGAAATTTTTCTTAGATAGAGATGGGTGTTTTTTTTAACAAGGCTACTGCAAAGAGGTAAAAAATATATATATCAGACAAAGACTAGAAGGCAATAAGCAAAAATGAGAATAGTAATAGCAGAGTAATGGGATAACTGGAACCTGCCCAGGCATCAGTCTTTTTAAATAGCTCCCAATGCAATTCTAATGTACAACCATAGCTGGGAGCCTCTGGGCAACAATGATGTGGCTGGGCCCTTCTTTCCAACCAAACTTTAAAAAATATCACCATTATATAATTTTTTTTTAAACTAAAAAAATGCTTAAAAGGCAGGTCAACAATCTGTGGAAGAGTAGAAATACGTTAAGAAACCTCTGGTGGGATAAGAGGAGGCCGGGGTTAGGACTGGTTGGGGAGTAGGATACTCCTGTTTTATTGTGTCATAACTGATTTTATCATGGCCTTATACAGAACACCTGCATGGCCAGAACTCAGTGAATCATAATCCTTCAGTAACTAGGAGGCTGGGAGCCTTTCTCCTGCTAGTCAAAAGGAAGACCTATTTGGGAAAACACAAATAACACCCAGTGCACATTTCGGATTCAGTTCCCACTCACCCTTCGAAAATCTGTCCCTGGGCTTATGAACTCTGCGGTCTTACAAATATGTAAAGTATTAGTAGTTTTATTAGGAAAGCCTCTCTACGTTCATATCGTGGATCTGGGAAGACATCTTTAAATACAACAGAAGAGGGTTAAGAGGTTAAACTGTGGAGCCAGACTACCTGGGGTCAGCACCTGGTTCTTCTATTCAGTAGTTCTGTGACCCTGAGCCAGTTACTTAGCCTCTGAGGCTGTGTCCCCCCTGTGTTGCTGTGAGGATTTAATGGATTAATACACAGAAAGCACTCCGTACAGCACATACCAAGCACTCAATAAATGGCAGTTCTATAATAACTATTATATGAAGAACAGTAAGTTTTAGTATCTCACTTCACATATTACCAACTACTAATGTTATACTATCACATGATGAGCTCTGTGATGGATGAGCTCAATAAACCGGGATGTGACACCAAAACTAGGTCTGTGTGTTCCCGTTTCACAGAAAAGCCAAGCGACTCAGCCATGGCCTGCATTTCAGCCCTCTTGCCAAGTTACCCAGACCCAGGCAAAAAACCCAATCTATAATTATTTTGTTTACTGGTTTAATAGTCATCTCTCCTCTCTAGAAGATAAGCTCCATGAGAACAGACACCCTATCGGTGCTGAGAACAATGCCTGGCTCACAGTAGGTGCTCAATTAATAATTGAACGAGTGGCCCATAGACAGAGCAGCCCTAACCTGCTCAGAAAATCACCAGAACAGATAAACCAAGGGGAAGGTAGGGAGGGGGGTGGGATTAGTGACCAGGAGTTTTTCAAGGTTCTTTCTAATTATGAGATTATTCCATGATTCTAGTTATATTAATAAGAGCTTCCTTTATGTACGTATCACCACAGTGTAGGGGAAAAAACCCCTTCAGTTGGAGCCCCTGAATCTCCTATGTTAAACCTTGAAATTCCAATGATGACAGCTAAGTTAAAGAGGAAATGCCTTCCAAGGGCATTGTTTCTACCCGAGTAGGGCCCCAGGACATCAGAGCCCTGGACTGGAGCTCTACCCGAAGGTACACTGCCTCACACAGCAGGCTAACTAGAACCTGGCCTGGCTCACTTCTTAGCTCAGAGCTGGGAAGAGCGCCCTTCACAGAGGGAAAAAGAGCCCAGCACACCTTCGTCCTTTAGTCAAGGTCTAGGAGGGGAGTTCGGTAACCCCCTCCTCCCCCATTCCCAGTGAACTAACTGGCTTTCCAGGCACCAGATCTTCGAAGGGAGTCAGGAACTCCTACCCAGGACCAGGCTGGAAGCATCTTACAAGATTCTGAAATCTCTGCTTCTTCTCCATGCCTGGCAACTGTGTTCTTTCCCACCTACTCCACCTGTATCTCTGGAGGCTGCAGCATGGAGGGAGTCAGATAGGGCATTTTTGAGGCTTGGTGGGGAGGAAAACCTCAAAGGAACCACCAATAACTGGGCCCTGCCACAGCGGTAGCTGGCAGCTTCCCATAGCCCCCCCAAGGAGCCCAGCAGCCAGGGTAGAGTGAGCACCTAACATAGCGGTTCTCAACCTGTGGGTCGCGACCCCTTTGGGGGTCGAACAACCCTTTCACAGGGGTCGCCGGGTACTCGTATGTGGGCGTATCTGCATGTGAGCCTGGAGATGGATAGAGAAGCGGTGTCTCGGTTCCTAAGACCATCGAAAATATGTGTTTTCCGATGGTCTTAGGCGACCCCTGTGAAAGGTTCAGAACCGCTGTACACCCAACCTGACTTGAAGGTGCTTTTTTTTAGACACATAATCTTTTCGTGCTGCCCTGGGACCTCCCCCTTCCCCCTCACCTGGAACCCAGGATCCACTTAGCAGCCATGCGCAGGGACCATGAAGTCAGCCTTCAGGACAAGTCATTTTTCCCTTGTGGCACTGAGGGGCTCCCACTTCTAGGAGCCCCACACTCCCTGGTGTCTTGCAGCACACACAGCACAGAGCAGGATTTAATAAACTCTTGCACTCAGAGGAAACTTTAAGGGTCTGGTCTCAGAAATCCTCCCTCCAGGTAAAAGAATGGGGAAAGAAACCCATTTCTTCCCAGCTCAAAGATGGTAGAAGACCTGGGGCCTTTGTGTAATAAAAGACAATTCCAGATTTCCTACCAGCTCATTTCTTATTCCCACACCACACTGCTAAAGGGGCCATTGCTACAATGCCCCAAAGGACAAAAGGCGAAACCGTGTCTGGAACGAGCTGGATTATGTGCATGGGTCAGGGGATGAGTGGGGCAGTTGGCTCAAATGTTAACCCCACTGGGCAATACAGGTTTGCTGTCAACACCCTCCAGAGCCAAATTCAGCTCCACAAACAGTACAGCTTCAGTGCCATGCCTTCCCTCCTAGTCCGATCAGGCCTAGAGCCAAGGGTCATGCTGTTTCCTAGGAGCTGCCCGAGTTACAGACCAGAGGCCTCAGGAAATAGCAGGCGGAAGAACAATCTGAGATAAGCAGGAGGTTCGATAGGAGAATAAAGGGAGAGGTGGTGGGGCTGCCAACAGAGCTTTGGGGACAAGCGTTCTTACCTGCAAGCTTCAGAGGCCAGTCCACCACCGAGGCCCAAACTACATTCTGAGTCAGACCCACTTTCGGTGTGTTTTCCAAAGCCGTTGGTCACACCTGCCAAGGACACACAGAGTGAGCCTGAGTGCAGAAACCCCGCCATTCTCCGCACACATGCTGCAGTGTGAGCCTATGGGAGGGCTTGGTGAGGACAGGTGGAAAGAATGGCTGTGCCTTCCCCTGTGGGACATGGGTCTTTGGCAGTGGAATCTGATACAGGTTTGGGGGAAATGTTGGCTGGGGCAAGGAGTAGACGCTGCATTTTCCTTCCCATATTCTGGTTTTACTTTAAGGAAAACACAGCACACAGACTCACTCCAGTTACTGTCATTTGGCTACGAAGGGAAATACCAAGACTTCCCCACTCTGGCTGGCTCACAAGTCCTAGATGTGCTTCTCATTTCAGGACTCAATTATCAGGGAGTTTCCTCTGCCGCTTGCGGAGCCCACCCTCCTGGCTTCTTCAGATAAACACTCACACACCCTATGCATCACACAGCTGGCAGCAGCTAGCTTCATTCTTTTGGGATGGTGTCAGGGGAGGTGGGGGCAGGATAAGGGCTGTGTCAACCACATCCAGAGATATCTAGCAGGGCTGGTCAGAGTTGAGGATGGCGGGACTTTTCAGAGCTAAAGCCCTCCTGGGATGGGGAGTCAGGATTCCCTGAGCTCTGAAATGCAGGCCCGTTCCCTCTTTAGGCCATGGCCTTTCCTTCTGTGAGGTGAACATAATACCTTCTTACTTATGGAGGATGCTATTAAGTATGAATGAGAGGTTTGTTTACAGCAGGGAGCCGTTTGGAGGCAGATGAAGACTGTCTGCTCATTCCAGGGGCAGGACTCTCATCTCCCGTGAAGGCTCCAGCTCTCCTCTCCATCTGCCCAATTCTTAACCACCATCCAGGGTCCTACAAGTCTGGGAGCCGAGTGAAGACCTCTAAGTCAGGACACTCTGGCCAGAAAACTGTGGGGCAAGTCACACCTGTCAGAGCAGGTATCTGGGCCAAGATGTCTGGACTCTGACCTGGCTCGGCCTCTAACATAGTGACCTCAATTTAAATCTCCAAAGCCAGCTGTGCCTTCGGGGGCCTCACCTGTGAAGGATCAACACCTGTCTCTGTGGGACTCGGCAAAGGTTGTGGACAAGCATTCCTGAGCGCCAGGCAGCTGGGCTGCGGGGGAGGACAGGATTCTAGCAGTGTCCCCAAGCATGAGCCCTCTCAGGTTCAGTGAGCCTGATGCCCAGGCCTGCTACCCAATAGCAGGACTTTGTGTTTTTAGTGGTGTTCTCAGTGCTGTTTGGCTGTGCCACATACAGCTGAGAGGATGACAATGATAATAACTGCTACCATCTACTGCTGTGTGCCAGGGCCTTACACAGACTATTTCCAATCCTGAGAGCCCTGCAAAGTAGGTATCATCAGCCCCATATTAGAAATAAGGAAACTGATTTGATACACAGCTGGTAAAAAGACGGGATTTGAACTCAGGTCTGTCAACTCCGGGCCTCAAGCTCCTGCCTTATATACCAACCTACTGCCCTAAGCTACAGGGAAGCTTGGGCCAGACAGGAAGGGAGGGTATTGGTAGGAAGACAGTATTAGGGAGGAAGAGAGAAAAGCACGTGCTGGCCACACAGCTCAAAGCCACCACACAAAGGGACATGAGCAGCCACAGTAAAGCACAGGCCCCACCCCACCAAGCGAGCTGGCCTTCCGTATCCCACCACGATGCAATGCCTGTCTGGCAATGGAGGGCCTGCCCATCCAGGCCCACCTGCCCACCTAGCCGTGGCTCTTGACATTCTGGGGAGCTCCTCTCCAAACTGTCCCTCACAGGGATTCTGTCCTTGTTCCCACAAACCCGGACCTGAGCCCTCGGTCCCGTCTACTCTTTTCTATTCTACCCTCGTCCCTCAGAGCCAGCTTAGGCATCACCTCTGCATGAAGCCTTCCCAACACCTCCAACAGTGCTATCAGCTGACATATAACCACATACTGTCCACTCTGTGACATCTCGGCAGCTCAGAAGACCATCCAGTCTCCTCACTATACTGAACCCTTCTGGAGCTGGAACTGAGTCTGACTTATTCGCCGCCAGTGCCCAGCTGGTGCTGGACATGGAATAAGGATTCCTCAGTGATCGAACCCCCATTACCTACTTCTGGGACTCCATCTCTGACCAGCCCCTGGCTCACTCTGCTGCTTTCTTTGCTGTTCCCACCCCCAGGGCCTGGACACTTGCTGGTCTATCTCTGTGGAACGTTCTTCCCCCAGATACACCAATAGCTCACACCTTCAACTCCTTTAGATCTTTACTCAAATGTCATCTCCTTGTAGGCCTCCCTGGGTCATCCTCTCTAACAGCACCCCAGAATCTCCTATCCCCCTTCCCTGCTGGATTTTTCTGCATCACTTCTAATACAAGATACAATTCACTCATTTGTTTTTAGTCTGTCTCTCCTCCAAAGGAGGAGATTTTTTCCCCCCCAAGTACCTAAAATAATGCCTGATATAAATATCTGATGAATAAATGAACCAAAATGAAGACAGGACCCATTTTACCATATCTAGCTTTGTATCTCCCTCAGGCCAAAGACAGCCCCAGACACAACCTAGCCCTGTCAAAATGCTTGCTCACAGCCTATTTCCCAGGCCACTACTCATGCGCCAGGCCCAACTGTGAGCTACAAAGCCCTCCATGCTACTAGTGGCATCTGCAGGGGTCATTTGGGAGGCAGCTGACTGGGGAAGGTGGCGGCTGGCAAGGCAAAGCAGGAAAGCAGATGAGAAGCAGCGAGACAAGTCACAGGTGGGGTCACCTGTCTCTTCCTCCTGCTGGGGGGACCTCTCCCCTTCACTCTCACTACAGCTCCTGCTCCTCGGCCGCTTCCGGGAGTGCTGCTCATCCTCGATGCTGGCGGGAGAGGCAGGGGAGCCTACTGCACCATGGTCCTCGCCATTCTCCAGGGCCCTTTCTGGGCTCCTCTGCAGCTGAACCCCATTCTTAGCCTTCTTGAAGAGGACTGAGGTGCGGCGGCCCACACCGCTGAGGGAGGTGCCGGCAGGGGCGTCAGGGGCCAGAAGGGACAGTCTATTGATGCCATTGTCGCTGAGCAGGCACTGCAAAGGCTCGCTCCCTAGCTGCAGAGGTGATTTTTCCAAGAGCTCGTCTTCTTCTACCTTCCTGGGCTTTAGGAATCGGCCTGGAGGTTTGCTATCATTGATGGGTTTCAGGGTGGGGGGGTCCGGAGGGGATTCTTGTTCAGATAAGGAAGGTGCAGGCCCAGTGGGCTCCAGGGTTGGTGGGGGAGGCAGTTTGGAGTCATCTGTTAGAGAAAAAGAGAACCTGCTTGAACATTTTAGAAAAAGTCTGCCCCTACAAGCCAGATAATGACACTGATGACCAAGAACAAAAGCGTGGGCTGTTATAAGGCTTGAAAAGAATCCAGGTTTCAGAGATCAGATAAAGAGAATATCGGACTAAGTTTTATCAGCACTAGTAGTTCTCAACCCTGGCTTTGCATTAGGATCACCTAGGAAATTTCTTAAAAATTTCAATGCCAAGGTCCCATCCAGACCAAATGAAGCCAAACCTATAAAGATGGGGTATTTTATTTTTAAGCTTACCAGGTGAGTCTGATGACATGAGGGTTATAAACTACTGCTCTACACCCAAGAAAGCTGGAAGTCCCGTTTAATCAATTAGGTAAGTCTCAGCTCATAGATTAGGGGTCTACAACTCTCATTAGACTCAAGTGCTTTCCCAACTTTTGTTGTATTTTGTTTTAAGTGAAGCAAGTAGGACAAGCAGAAAAAGAGTTTAGATACGGAAAAATGAGACCAAGTAAGTTAATCAGTGGTTCCCAAACATGTCTGTTCACCTACCACCTTGACATTTGTAAAAATTAAGCCTTCCAAGCCACATCCCAGACGTCCCTAATCGGAATCTCTGGGAGGCGAGCCTTGGGAATTTTGTCGGAAACCCTCTAGGACAGCGGCTCTCAACCTTCCTAATGCCGCGACCCCTTAACAGTTCCTCATGTTGTGGTGACCCCCAACCATAAAATTATTTTCGTTGCTACTCTGTAACTGTAATTTTGCTACTGTTATGAATCATAATGTAAGTATCTTTTTGTTTTCCTATGGTCTTAGGCGACCCCTGTGAAAGGGTCGTTTGACCCCCAAAGGGGTCGCAACCCACAGGTTGAGAACCGCTGCTCTAGGAGAAGCTGTTGCAGCCAGGCCACTGGGCACGACTGCGCTCCCACGGCCCAAGAGTGGGGGCACTAGTGGCATCCTGCCTGCCACGTGGGGAGTTGGGAAGAATCCCAATGGACATGAAGCCCTCTAATCCCAATTGTGACCTCTCAGCCATGCCCTCATTCTCTGCCAACCTAAAATAAAACGGGCCATTTCTTGCCCTTTGGCTCCCTATCCTCTGGAGATAACTCCCAAACTTTTGAACTGTGTGGATGACATGCCATCCCAAGCCATCGGCTCAGATCCAAGGACAGGTAGCGGGTAGACAATTCTGTCCCCAGGGAAGTGGGGAGAATGGAAAGCAGCTCAGCTTTAAGGTCCCTGAGTCTCTGGAAATCACTTCTCCAGCTGTCTTCTGCAGTGTGGCCTTTCTGCTTGGGATGGGCCTGTAGGCTCAGCCAGCTGGGGTCAAACCCATGAGGTAACTTGAGAGCTCGGACCATCTTTAGGGTCTTTCTTTTCTGTGCCCCACAGCACAACCTAAGCTGCTTTGAGGGCCTCTCTACATGGTGGTATAAGGTGATCTAACATATAACTGGTATGTATAATAGGACCATGTCAGGTGTAAAACACTGAAATACTTCTTTACTGGTTAGTAAATAGCTACTGGGCCCTAGCATCTGAAACTCTGAGCCTGCCCACAATCCAGTAACTAAATATCCATATCATTGGCCCCCCAGGAGTCCACTCTAATATAATAGTCAATATCTATTCTAACTGATAAATTCTGGTCTCTCCTGCTTGTTACATGTTTTGAATATCATCCTTGGGTATACATGGACGTGTGACCCCTCCCAGGGTTTCTGCTTGCCCACAAAGGTCAGACCTAAACTCAGGGAACGACGCTTCTACTGTGGGATTTCAGCTTAACCCTTCCTCCCTTACCCTGCTCCCCAGCACCCGGCCTGCCCGTGACTGTCTCACCTCTGTCCCCATCGTCTTCTGGCTCCTCCTGCGGGGCCTGTTCCAGCACAGCAGCATCCCCTTGGGGCCCTGCTGGCAGCTCCCCATTGGACACAGTCTTGTTCAGTGAGGGCAGCTGTGGTGGCGGCGGTTGTGCCAGCTTCTGCCGGAGGGCATTGATCTCCCGGCGCAGCAGGCGGACGCGGCGGGTCCGGGCCCCACTGGACCGCATGGCACTCACCAGGTCCAGTTTTTCCAGCAGCTCCTTCAGTTGCACCTCCGGGGACAAATGGGCCCGGTTCTCAGGTAGGAGGATGTTGTCCACTGCCAGGGAGAAGGGAGGACAGAAGGGGCTGAAGGACCTGACAGCCCAGGGCAAGGGGGAAGGGCTGAGTCCTTCGGATGAAAAGTATTCTCCTGGAATGCCTGGACCACTGGCTTCCAGCAGCATCACTGTGGGGGCTTGGCCCTGGCGCCACTGCAGGCCGGAGGGCAACCACAGGGACAAGGTCAGAATCTGGGAAACATCTGCAGGAAGCAGTTCACAGTCACAATTATGGGCTCCATGGAGCAGGCACGAGGCAGCTTGGCAATCCCCTAGCCCGAGTGACTGGCTGTTGCCATCAAGAAGCAGACAGCCAGGGCAGGAAGAGCACGGGGCTCAGAGGCAATGCCGTGTTCTGGTCCTCTACCTGCGCTCTTCTGAAAGAGCCACACATACACCAGCATTGCATTCCCCGTGCCCCATGCTCCAATGCCACACAGAGGGGTCTGGGAGAGGAAGACCCCAGTGAGGCTTCAGCTTTTCAGACAGCTGGAAGTGCTACCATTCAAGAAGTGCTCAGTGAATGAGTTAAACTTTAATCCTTGCAACTATTGTAGCCACAAGCAGGTGTATTCCAGCCTGTGCCTCCCCCCAGCTTTGCTCCTGGAGTCTACCCTGCAGCCCCAAGGCCCACCCCGATCCCTGGCTCTCTGGGCTCTGTTCCCGGGTCTCCTCCTGGCCTCTCTCCTCCCCACCCGTCCAGGCTTCTCACCGTCTTCCCAGGAGAAGCGGTAAAAGTCCTCCAATTTGGGTGAGTCGGGCAAGTGGGTGCCCCTCTCGGGGTCATAGCCGATGTTCTCTGCCTGCCGCCGGGCGTGCCGCAGGATGGCCCCTCCCAGGTCCCGCAGGCGGACAGCTGCTCGGTGGAAAATTGTGTCTTTAGCATTATACTTCATGCAGTTGGTAACTATAAGGTTAAAGTCCTCCTCAAATTCCTCCAAGGTGAAGTACAGATGGGATTCCAGCTTCCGCCTCATGGTAGAAAAATCCATTGGCTTGGATATGAATTCCAGGTAATCTGGAACCTAAACATATAAAACCTGTACAATTACAACAACCATTTACTAGCCAAACAGGCACACCCTTCACCGGCACTGCTGTTTCCCCGTTTCCTGGTCTGGCCACACCGAGCTCACTCCGAGCCCAGGGCCCTGGCCCACCCTGACCCACTGATTCCTCACCATGGATAAGTCTATTAGCCCTGCCGACGCCCCAGGGTTTATACACCCTGGGCCCCAACCCCCTCCTGGGTTACTCAGATCATTTCCAGTTCAAGATGAGCTCACTGCTCGGGAAGGGGGGTGGGGGGTGGGGTACTTGCCTCACTCAGGTTGACGGGCTCGGCAAAGATGTGTGCGGGATCCTTCTCCTGCAGCAAGTCCAAGGTTGTCCTTAGCAGAACGTTGAATGGCATCAGCTCCAGCTCCATGGCAGCCTGCTGCACCTTGACCTGTGGGGAGGTGGGGGGAGATCAGGACACCCCCCCTCCCCCTCCCCCGCAAAGAGGCATGGAACTTTTTCTTGATAACTTGACTTTCACTAATCATGTATAACAAATTTTCACAGGATATTAAGCTGACCAGTTTATGAGGTGCTATCATCCAACCCACAGCCTAGAAATAATGACACCAACAGCTACCACTATGTGGATGTTTCCTGAGTGTCAAGCACAGACCAAAACTTAGAGTAACAATAACTATATAGTTGACCCTTGAATAACACAGGTTTGAATTGAACAGGTCCACTTATATGCAGATTTTTTCAATAAATACTGTAAATGTATTTTCACTTCCTTATGAGTTTCTTAATAACATCTTCTTTTCTCTAGCTTACTTTAGTGTAAGAATACAGTATATAATATACATAACACACAAAAATATACTTTAATTAACTGTTTATGTTATCAGTAAGACTTCTGTTTAACAGTAAGCTATTAGCAGTTAAGTTTTTGGGGAGTCAAGTTACATGTGGATTTTAAGCTGTACAGGAAGACAGCACCCCCAATCCCCACATTGTTCAAGGGTCAACTGTAATAATAGTTAACATGTCTATAGTCCTTACTAAGTGCCAAGTAACATTCTAAGCATTTTATGTAAATAAGTGAGTACATGAGGTAAGTAGAGATCAGATAGTTTACGAAGAGGAAACTGAAACAGAGACTAAGTACTGACTGGTCCAAGGTCACACAGCTAATAAGGGGCAGAGTTAGGACTTAGTCCCAGACAGTCTGGTTCCACAACGTGTGCTCTGGATGGCTATGCCACACTGCCTCTCTACTTACATTACCTCAGCTAACTCTGAAGGAGAAATTTACTATCCCCATCTCACAAATATGGAATCTGAGGCTTGAGAAGAGTATGACTGAGCTGTCATGAACCCAAGATAAGCTGGTTAGAAAAGACACAAGATTTGAACCGGGGTCTCTATCCAAAGAGCACACTGATGATACAGTGTTCCTGGGGCTAGAATTCCCACCTAGTGTGCTGAGATATTGATCCCACTGGCCCTTGGGGTGTCTGGGTTAGCCTGGGGTGACCGGACCTCCAGGCTCACCCCCTCAGGAAGCAGGCAGCCTCACATATTTACAGTAGTATGCTGTACAAATGTTATATTCTATGTGTGCCCTAACTGAAAAGATTGGGAAGCCATGGATTAGACTATGAAAAGTTCCTGCCTCTCGGCTACGACATTCTGGCCTACCTGCTTCCTTTTCCCTTCCATTCCTCTGAAACAGAGGCTGGAAGGAAAGCTCAGCTGTGGATCCAGGCCTGGCATGGCAGACAGTTTGAATCCATGGAGAAGGTCCTAGGATGTCCTCCATGGCCACCCATGCTAAGTATGGCAAGAGCTGCCCAGTCTCAGAGGTGGAAACTCAGGCTATAGGCCTGTAAGAGAAGGGCTTGTGCTGGGGCTGAACAGCGAAGTGGGAGTTCAGAGAGAGAAAGGAACATCTTTAACCCAGGCCTCTGAAGCATGCGAGTAACAGCTGCTATTCCTGAACCAGAGAGAATAGTTTTGGCTCATCATCCATTCAATTAATAATATTTGCTCTCTACCATGTGTACAGCACTGCGGGGAAGCAAACAGTATCAATAATAATTAGGATGATAGCAACTGACACTATAAAGCCTACTGTGTGCCAGGCACTGTCCTATGATCTTTATACATCCAAGTCACCTAAACCTCACCACAACCTTAGGGGATAGGTTCTATTATCACTGCCATTTTACAATCGAGGAAACTGAGGTATAAGGAGATTAAGCAACTTACTCAATGTCACACGAGTAGTAAATGGCAGATCCAGGATATAAACCGAGGCAGTTTGGTGCCACAGTTCATCTTCCTAACCCCTGTGCTACACTACCTATCTCAACATTCCCCACGTGTAGAGGCTGAGGATCTCCTTGAGTAGAGGTTGGGAAATTTAAATGATTCGGTACCATAGTGTTTAAGGGCCTAGTAAGAACCCTCCAAGGAGCTCCAAGGTCAGAGGCGATGCCTATCAGAGTAGCCTGAGCAGCTTTCTAAAATCCAGGCCAGGCTCCCCCTGAGAGTCTCTGAGTCACAAACTCTAGGGTTGGGCCCAGGCATATGATGTGAAGCTTATGCCTGAGGCCACCAGAAGTTGGATTCCCAGTTAGAAGTCATCAGCAGCACCCAACACAGAGAAGGCAGGCCTTGGGGTGCATCATACTGGGTAGGAAGGAAGGGGTGCAAGTTGACACCAGGCAGAGGCTCCAGGTCTCCTGATAACACTGACGGTAGAAGAAAAAGTTCTTGAACAAGAGCCCTGGGGCTCGGAGCTCCTCACCTGCTCTCGCTTGAGCTTCTCTCTTTTCCGAATCAGCTCAATCAGCAGCCGCGCCCGCTCCAGGTCATGCCGGAGCTTCTGCCAGTATTTCAGCTCTTCCTTCACTGCACTCGTTTTCTCATCCTGCTCTCGCTGCAGGGGGGGAGGGAAAGGAAAGAGGGGGAGCTAGGGGCCGCCTTCCCGCCCGATGTCCTCTCCCTGTTGGAGCCTCACAGGACCTCGGCAACTAAGAGCCCCAACCCCTTTCTTGACCCACAGTCCCTGAGAGCCCTCCACCCCCTCTACCCCATTCCTGCCTCCTGTGCTTCCCTGACTGTATAACAATGTTTCTTCACTGCAGCACAAGAACCATGGCTGCGGTGAGATCTGGACAGCTTCCCCTTACCCTTGGGGACACCAGAAAGCAGCTGTGCCCCTCGGGGCTGGAAAAAATTTCAGAAAGAAGCTAACAGACACCTCAGGGTGGAAAGAATTTAACCCTAGAGCTTCAACTTGGCTAGAAATCAAGTTGTGGTGACTACAAACTTGTACTGACTGACATACTTAAAACACCACCACCACCACAAAAACATGATTCCAGCCCTAGAAGAGGTTACAGCATGGTTGGGGAAGGAAGAGGCTCAGGGTTTGACGCACAGGGCATAGTAGCATAAAGACAACAAAAACTGATCAGATAGGCTGAATATAAAATGCTGAGAGGATATAAAATAAGAGGGGATCTGAGTGGGTTGGGGTAAGGTCAGAGAAGGCTTCCTGGGGGAGGCAGTCTTACTAGGTTTTCACATGGAGTGATGGACATGGATGAATAAAGCAGCAAGGAATGCCTTGTGTGGAACCCAAGGGACCACAGGGCAGAAGTGTGGAGGCAGAATTAGTGATTCTTTGCTTTGTGAGAAAAAGGGGCTGGCCAGAGCAGAGAGGTTAGAGAACTACAAAAGCCAAGGAAGACCCAGGATCCAGCTGACAAGAAGCCTCAAATGCCAGGCAAAAGCCTGGACAAGACCTGCTTGGAGAGAGGGAACATTCTAGAAATGGAAGTGACAGGATGGAAAATGGTGTGTGAGTCATTACCAGTTGTAGAGCAAAGAAAGAATTAAAGGCTAGTGATCACCAAAAAGCTGCTACTGAAGTTAAGGGGACATGGGTGAGTAGGGTAGCTGGAGAATGGAGACCAAGGGCCATATACTGAGAAATACCCCCAAAGAGCTCAGGGGATGACTGACTGTGGCTTGTTATGGAGGGAAGAGTTAAAAGTAACTCCAAGGTGGGGAACCTCTGAGGTCAGGAGGGAGAAGGCTTCATGACAATAATGGGGCAATATGTTTACTGAGAAGAAGGGAGATAACGAATTCAGTTTCTAATAGTTGAGTTACAAGAAACAACATCTACGTGAGCGTCTATAGTTCCTGTGCCCTAGAGGGACCAAGGGTAGAAAGAACAGATGAGGACAAGATGAGAACCTGGAGCTGCTGCCCATTATTTACAACTATGAGTGGACAAGTTCTCCAAGCAAACAGGCAGGCAGCAGAGGCCCTGGGAATGTCACCATCAAGATGTAAGTGGGATGGGCACAGGGTACAGCCTGGGGGTGGAGGAGGTGAGAAATGGTGTCACAGAGCTCTAAGTCAAGGTGATCATAGTGTCAAATGTAGCTCAATGGTCAAATAAAATGAGAATCTGAGGACAGACTTGCTGGACTGGGAAGAGGTCACTGATGCCGTAGAGGGAGGCTTCAGGGGAGCACATGGACCATTTTGAGAAGGGATGAGATACAGACGGCACTTCAGGGCTTCAGTTACAGAAGGCAAAAGGAAAATCAGGGGGCGCCTTAGTCATGTGAAGGCTTGCTTCATACCTGGAGAGGCAGAGTGGGAATACTTAAAGGTGGAAGTAGTGGAGCAAGTGAAGAGGGAGCTAGAAGTAAGGATGTTTAGAAAATCTCTCAGGGGGCCTCCACCTTCTCAGAAACCACTAAACGCCTAGCATCTCCCGTTGCTAGTGGCTAAAGGGACATCACGACTGGGCAGGATGTGTACTACAACTTAGATGGTACATTTTCCATGAAACATTTGTTGGAGGAGGGCAGTGTAGTGTCTTAAGGAAAGTGCACCTTTTCTACATGGCTGCCTGGCCCACTTCTTCCTTCCTGCCACATCTAAAGGATTTCCCCACATGCATAGAAAGTTGGGCTTGCTCTCCAGTCTCCCCTAGAATGGGCTCCAAAGTCAAGCCTCTCCCATCCAGGGGCTGCTGTCTGATGTGAAGAGCTCTGCAGTGCTGGAGGTTGTTCCTGGGATAGACCACCTAGAGGCAAAAGCTCCACAGAGGGGTCGGGGGGCTACCCAAACCATCACTCCACGTCCTGCACCCCACCACTTCCAGATCACCACTTCACCCACCTGCTCGGCGTTCCTTTGGGACTGCAGGTGGGAGTGCAGGCGCCGGATGAGAGGGACACCATTCCGTGCCTGCCGTTTCAACAGCCAGTAGTTGTGAAGCCGCTGCATGAACTGGTTTTTCCTCTGAAAGGAGAGACCACTACAGATCTTGTTCAACCTTGAGTAGAGGCACAGGGAAGTGAAAGACAGGGTCAGTGGGCAGCCCAGATTACAGCCTCCTAGCCAGACCCTGGTTCATTTCTAAACCTTACAAAGGAAGACAGAATAAAGTGGCTAAGTGCCTCACCTCAGAGACAGGCTTGAGAAGGACAGCAAAGTTAAGCAGCTCAGATTCAGCATATTTCACTTGACCTTCCCCCTCCCGCATTGCAGTCCTCCAAAAGAACCCTCTCCCAGAAACCGTTTCCTGTGCGCCTGGGCTCCTGAGAAACCCAGGCCTGTGCCCCAACACCCCCAGCCTCCTTTTGATAAAGGCAGCGAAAGAGAACAGGAACTTGAGTAAGCTTTGGACAATGTGGTCACTATTTCCTATGGCTGAGGGTCCCACCAGACCAGGGGGTAGTAGTCCACGGCCAAGCTGGAAGGAAAACTAGTAGGAGTACAGCAGGCTACGCCTTTCCGAGCCAAAAGCAATCCCTCGGAGTTGTCTGACCTCTGGGTTTTCATTAAAAACCTCAGCAGCCTAATAATGTCTACTTCTGGGTCAAATTTTTAAAAAAATGGATGTAAAGGTATGAGAGGCTGGAGAATCTTGAAAACTTAGCTGGCTAAACTACCCTAAAAGAGAAGTTTTAAGGTCAGGATTTAAGCCAGTAGCGTGTGGGGGGAAGGGAAAGGGGCAGGAAGGGAACTAATGAGAGCCTACAACCTCTATCCTAATGGCCATACTGAAAGGTGGCTGACATCATTCCTGTGTTACAAAAGATGGACAGGCAGCTTAGGAACAGAGGCTGAATAAATGGTCCGAGTCACTAACGCAGCTACTAAGGTGGTGGAGCTGGGTGGGGTTTGCATCCACGATCTCTCTGCTATAACTTGCTGTATATCTACCAGGTAAGCAAGACTTCAGTGCTCCTGTGGTGTTTCCGTCGCTTTTCTCTTCACCTCACTCCACTGAAAGATAAACAGGGCTGAACAACCAGGTGGAACCTAAGGAGGATGGATGGGCCTCTTGGACTGCACATTGCACACCTGGGCCTGGGCCTTTCCACGGTCAGACATTCCTGCTCCAAAGCCAAGCTTACAAAATGAAGGCCTGGGCCTTTCCCCAAAGGACAGATCCCCCCACCAATGCCCATGCCAAGCACACCTGCCCAGATGCAGGCAGCCCCCCGCCCACCCTACAACCTCTTGGCCATGGAGGGTCCCAATAGCATTTGTGCAGGTAGGAGAAAGAATAATAATAAAAAAATAGCAGCAGCAGCAGCCACTATTTATTGAGCGTTTACTATTTGCCAGGCACTGTGCTAAGTGCTTTACTTATTTATTTCTCACAACACCCTTGAGGTAGGTTCACTTACAGATAAATACACTACAGCTTAAAGAAGTTACGTAACTTGCCAAAGGTCACGCAGATAGTTAGTGACAGAAACAGGATTCAAAGGCAGGTCTGTCTGGATCTTAGCCAGCAAGCTATGCTGGCCGCTTGCAAGAGACATGGACAAGAGCAAACTGACAAAACGTCAAGCCCAGGACACCACCACCCTACAGATGGGGACTAAGCATTCACCCACTCACCTCAGGGAAGAGGGTCGCCTAGAACAGCTCTGTGCCTAGATGATACATTTCCAATCGACTGAATTCTAACTCAAGCCATGGTTTGCAACAAGAGCCTCTCCCTCCTGACCTGCTCCACTCTTGTGTCTTCTTCTCAGACTGAGAAGTCTGGTTGCCTGTTCCCCTCATAGAACTCACTCTGCATTCCCCTCCAGTGCTCCTTTCTCCCTATCCTTCTCATTGAGAGAGAGAGACAGCAGGTACAGAACCTAGAGGCATCATGAGCCCCAGCTTGTTGTTCAGTCTGCTGCTTTTCACCTGGTTGCAGCCCTTAGAACAGGACTTGGCATATAGTAAGTGCTCAATAAATATTTCATCGAATGAATAAAGGAGTGAACAACTTTACCTCCCGTGGCCGCAGTTTCTTCATCTGGGGGTGTGGGAGAAGGTGCAAGGACTATATTAGATGAATAATCTCCAAGATTTCTTCTTGCTCTAACATCACCCTGTGGACCCGGGTTGCTTCTCTGCCAACCCCCCATCCCTCCAACGGCTCCAGCTACCTACCTCTCTGATGGTTTAACAGGTACACTGGTCTTTCTACACACTCAGCAGGGGTCAAGGTGGCTTAGTTACACCCCTGAACTGAGAGATCCTCTTTCCCCTAAATCTAAAAGCTTCTCAAGAGGAGGAATAGCGTGTCCTCCCCACACCACCACCCCCTCACACAACGTCCTCATCGTTCCCAGAACCAAGCTTTCTGGACAGTAGAAACCCATACTGACCCCTTAAAACAGCTGTTCTCAATTGGAAGTAGTTGTATCACTGTAGAGGTTTTAGAAACAAATATGGGGAGTGTTTGAGATTGTTACAAAGACCAAGCAATGAGGGAGGGGATGCAACTGGTATTTGCAAAGACTAGAGATGCTAAACATCTAGAAATGCATGGGACAGTCCTAATAATGATGAATTACCTGTCCAAAATGCCCCTGTGCCCCTGTGGAAAAATACTTCCTTAGATATCCTGTCACCTGAGTTCCTAAGCAACTTGAAGTGTTTGTCTCACCTTGAACCAAAGGAAAGACACTGTTCTGAGAACCCAATCAAAATCGCGAACCAGGCTAGGCGAGCCCAGGGTCCAAAGGAGAAATTTGAGGGCGCAGACGAGAACAGATGTTCACCAATAGCGCATGGGGAAAGAGGCCTGGCCCAGGGCCAAAACCAGCCCAAGAAGAAATCATGAGTCCCTAGGGAGCCCTCCGAGGCAGGCTCACCTGTAAGAGGGTATCTGGGGGACAGTGACCAAGGGAACAGTGGAGGGCGTGTCTCGACCCACTTCCTCTGGCTCCTTCTTGGTCTTTTGCTTCAAAGTCATCTTGTTCTTCTTGGGCACTCCCTTGAGGGAGCCGCCTACTCCACCTTGGCCTTCATCTTCCTCCTCCTCTTCCACCTCTTCCTTCTCTTCCTCCTCCCCACAGCCCTCCTTCAGCCCTTCATCATCCCCAGCCTCACTGAGGCTTCCGGGGGAGTCACCCTTCCTCCTGGCAGTGGCAGCCCCCGGTGGCGAGTGGGCCTCACAGTAGGCGGTCTTGCGCACTGTGAAGATGGTGCCATTGAGGCTGGTCTCACGCATGGGCTCAATCTTCATGAAGAGCCCGGCCCGCTGTGCACACGTCACATGGAAGGCTGTGTAGCAGTTTACCTTATGGCACTGGATGGCTGCACCCAGCCCCTTCTGTTTGCATATGTAGCAGGTGAGTTTCCAGCGGGCAGGTGGGATGTTGTCGATGCCCTCAATGGGCTCCAGGAACACGGTGTTAGCGAAGCAGACTTCAGGGATCCAGATAGCACACACCACGTGGGCCCAGTGCCCGTCACTGGTCTGTTTGAAGGCGCCACCTTTATTGGGGCAGAGGATGCAATCCACAGGCCGGGAAGGAGACTGCAGGCAGCAGCGGCATAGCCACTGACCCTCGGGGATATAAGGGACGCCGTAGCATTCCTGGTGTACAGCCAAGTTGCAGATGTCACAGAAGAGAATGACGTTGCTATTGTGGCACTCGTCGTCTAGGCACACACAGCAGAAAGCGTCTTCATCAATGAGTGACTGTTGGGCCCCACTGCTGCGACTCTCCAGGTATGACTCCTTCTCAAGCCGGTCCACCAGCAGCTCAAAGGTGTCTGCTGACACCAAACTGTGCCCATCTACTCGCCGCTTCTCATTCACCATGTCCAGCCAGGCGAGGTCCTCCTCATCCATGTCGTACTCGACCTCCGCATCCAGGTCTTCAGGTGGCTTCTCAATGTAGCGATAGTAGGCAGCGGGCAGCGGGGGTGCTTCAGGCTGGCTGCCTGAGTCCACCACGCGGAAGCTGGGCTGCGGGAGGTGGAAGGAAGTGCCTGACGCATGCTTGGAGCAGGACTCCTTCTTCTTGCCCTTGGATGAGGGTTTTTTGGACTTGCCGGGGAACTGAGGCTGCTCGCTGTTTTCCTTGTTACTATTGCATTCAGTGATATCCTGTGCAGTCAGCTCATCCTCCGTGATGATCTTGAGTGGGTCATAGATGCTGATCCGATGCAGGCGGCCATCAATGTCCACCTCAACAATCCGCTGGGCCTGGGCATAGGTCAGGGTCTCCCGGGTGGGTGAGCACTTGAGACTGTAGGGGGATGGGGAACGCCGGCCCTCGGCATTCTGCCGTGACTTCCGGCGAGGCTTCCTCATGGCACCTGGGAAAAAAGGGGACAAGCCTAAGGAGAGAAAGCCAGGAGACCATAAGCTTGATGCACTCATTCACCCTTCCATCTGACTGAGTGACCCCTGAGAGGACTGGCTGTTCTGTCTGAACATCCTGCCCCTCAGATGTCCACATGGCTTGTTCCTTCACCTCCTTAAGTCTTTCCACAAACTTCACTTCTCCCTGAGACCTTCCCTGACCATTCTATCTAAAATTGCAAATCTCTCCCCAGCAATCTTTCATCCTGCTTTATTTTTCACTGTAACACTCACCATTTTTTACTGTGCTATGTAATTTACCTATTTATCATGTATGTTTGCTTCTTTCCACTAGAATGTAAGCTCTATGAGAGAAGGGATTTCTACCTGTCTCGTTCACTGCTACATCCCCAGCACCTGGAATGGTGCCTGGCTCCTAAGCACTAAGTATTAGTTGAATGAAAGGAGAAATCAAACACGCATGATCCCTGCCCTCCAGGAGCTCTGTTTGACTGAAGGAACAGAGAAGTAAACAGATCATTACAATGCGACATGGGGAGTGACCTAATGTTTTAGTGATGTATATAGGACTNTGAAATATGATAGGGTATATCACTCCCATGATTCTGTTATGTGGCAAAGGAGAAAGTATTTTGCTGATATAATTAAGGTCCCTAGTCTGTTGACTTTGAGTTAATGAAAGGGAGATTATCCTGGATGAGCCTGACCTGATCAGGCAAGCCTTTTAAAATAGGGTTTAGGACCTTCCCTGAACTCCAGACGTTTGCCTGCTGGCTTTGAAGATGCCAGCTGCCCTGAGTTTTATAGCTGCAAATTAATGAATTCTGCTAACCACCATGTAGCTTGAAAGAGGATGCAAGCCTCCCATGAGACTGCAGCTTGGCTGACACCTTGATTGTTGCCCCATGAGACTCTGAAAAGAAGACCCAGCTAAACTGTACCCAGACTCCTGGTCCATGGAAACTGTGAGATAATAAACATATATTGTTTTAAGCTGCTATGTTTATGGTAATTTATCACACAGCAACAGACAACTAATACTCATTATTTTTGCATTAATACTCAGAACTGAGATTAGTCTGTAATTTCCTTCCTTTCTTCCTTCCTTGTCAGATTTTGTTATTAATGTTATATTTGATTTATAGAAATAATTTGGAAGTTTTCTTCATTTTTCAATGCCTTGAAATGGTTTTAAAAGCATTTGGAAAGGAGCATTGGACAGTTGTCTGTTTCTTAAAGGTGTGGTAGCATTTCCTTGTGAAAGCTGGGACGGGTTTTTTTGGAACTTTTTAACCACTCATGTTTTGATTTTCTTCTTATTATTTTGATAACTTATATTTTCCTCAAAAGTAATGTATTCTATGTTTTTAGGTTTTCAAAATTNCTCTGAGCAACAGCAGTTCGAGTCCTGGCCCGAGCTGAGCAGCCGCTGAGCTGCCAACAGGTAGCAGGATGGCTCAGCTAAAAAAAAAAAAAATTCACAGGTCTAGGGACCTCTCCCAACCCATCATACCATGACCAGAAACCCTAACCCCTGATTATGACTTCAGGGAAGGGGTGAAGGCACATGAAATGTCTATTTCATGCAGTCTAAGGACTTCAAACTACAGTATTCAGGGTTTTCTCTGCAAAAGGCAGCACTCAGGATGCACTGGCTAGTATATCTTTTAAGCAGAAGCTCTCTGGAATGGCCTCAGTGGCATGAAGTTATAACAGACCTATTTGCAACCATCATTAGACCTAAGACCAACTGGGGCAATATCTGAGGTAAACTCTCAATGTAGTGTTACCTCAGAGGTCCCGCTCTCCCAAAATATTTACTCTAGTCTACCCCTGTGCTGCAAGAGAAAGCCCTCAAGTTTCCTACATCATTCTCTAGCTGGAAGGACTATAACGAGCTCGGCGGACCTGTACTGGCAGTTACTGAGGCCACAACAACCAGGAAAGAACTTTGAGGATATGGTGCCCTGAAAGGTGGACAGAGACTTGAAAGGGAATGAATCAGGAGAGGATTTCAAGGAGAAAAAGTTGGTCGTTTAAGTTACTGGGTCTACCATCTTTATCTATAAAGTGGAGATGGTGGTGATTAGCACACGTTTACAAACGACAAAGCCCTTTTACTATTCATATTTCCCACAACTAGTTTGGGAGGCAGAATAGATATTATCATCTCCATTTTACAGATGAAGAAAACAAAAGCTCAGAAAGGTGTCAAATCAACCCCCAAACCTGTAAGTGATAAAACTACAATTCAACCCCAGATCTTCTAACTTGCTCAACTCATCTCACGAGGAGAAAAGACCACGACAGAGATGGATGGTCTGATACAAAAAGAGGCTCTGGGGCAATCGAGGTTCTAATCTTGGCCCTGTGTGACCTGAAGAAAATCCCATACTCCTTCAGTAAAATGAAATCAATAAAATCTACCTCTTAAGGTTGCCATTTGTTAATAAGGTATTAACATCCTTATTTAAAACGTCTTCCAATCCCAAAATATGACTGAAACAATAAAAAAACACCATGGCTGAGGAACAGTGCCAGGGAGGCACACACCCCATTTGGAGCCAAAGGAAGCGGAATCACCACAGCAATTCAGGTTCCAGAGGCCGGTGGCCACTATATGCCTTACAAATGCCAACACCCTGGCAACAGCCCCAGCCGACACCGCTGCTTTATTGCCCTTGCCCACTCCAGGGCTTGGAGACCCTAGCAGAGGTGTTAAAATCTACCTCACTACTAACTTGAAATAGTTTAGAGAGGCTGTGGCTCCTTCTTTGTTAAAGCCACTCTACATCTTTTCTCCCTACCTGCCACCTCCCCAGCAGCGCAGGTATCGCTCCACCAAGCAGCAAATATCTAGGGAGACAGACCTCTTCTGTCCTACCCAAGCCTCTAGTCTCTGGCGGGCAAACTCTGAAGGGAAAGGGCTGCCGCTGAGGAAAATGAAATTAGTTTCGCCCACAAGGAGCGTACCGTCTAGTTTTTTTGGCGGGAGTTTCTCATTCCATACAACCCTTCCCACACATCCCACACAGTCAAAATCTCTACCACCACCAGAGGTCTTCCTGGCATCCTCTGAGCCCCTACTCTCCCACCCGACCCAGGTCCGTGAAGAATGAGGAGTTTCTGCAATTAAACTGTACCCCCTGCCACCCACACGAGATACTCATGAGACGAGGACCCCAGCCAAGGCTCCTGTCCCCTTTACTGGGGCACCTCTTCCAGAAGAATCTTGACCCTTCGGAGGAGAAAGGAGGGTAATAACATCTCCTCAGGGGAGGGGGCGAGCGCGCCGGAGACACACTGACGCGAAGTCCGACCCTCAAGACAGAGAAAGCTAGCGCCCGCGTACGAGCGGGGCAGAGAGGCGAGCGGCCATTGGCCGCTTCACACGTCCGTCAGGAGGAACTGGGACGCTCAGGGGGTGGAATTCGCCTGAGGCCTGACCAATCGGAGAGAGTGGCGGGGGCGGGGCTCGGCGGCTCGGCTTCCAGGGCCGGGGGGAACAAGATGGCGGCTGCGGGAGGGGGTCTTCGCTTTTCAGCTCCCCCCTTCACCCGCCTTCCTCTTCCCCGCCGCCGCCCTAGCTGCAGGAGAGTGCCTTCGCACCACCCCCGCCCCGCTGGGGCAGCCCCCCGCTTCCCTCCCCCACCCGCGCAATCCCCGATTTCTGTCCGGCCCCGCTGCCGCCCCCATTACCTCAGCAGCCGGCCGGGCCCCACCGTTAGGGGCCCCTGGGCGCGGACGGGCTGGCCGTCGAGCAGGTCGACGCGCCCCGGGGAGCGGTGCGCGGCCTCCTCCCGCGCTGGCCTCCGCGGCCACAGCCGTGCCCCCTCCCGGCCCGCGCTGGGGGCCCGGCCGCCGCCACCGCTCCCGGGGGAGGAGGGGGAATGGAGCCGCCGCCGCCGCTGCCGCCACGGAGCCCGGCCGAGGGGAGGGAGGGATCAGCCCCCAGGCAGGATCCGCCCCTCCGGCCTCCCCCCGCCACCTCCACCCCTTCCCTCGCTCGCTCCCTGGCTCCGCGGGCTCTGTCGCTGAACGGGAGCGAGAGCGCGAAAGAGGGGGGAAAACGGGAAAAAAATCCCCCCGCCCGTACCCAGCGCGGCGGCGGCGGCCGGGGCGGCGCGGAGAAGAGCGCGGAGCTGCCGCCGCCACGGGGCACCGTCCCCGTCTCGGCCTCACGGTGGCGGTGCGGACGCGGCAGGGGTGCAGAGCGGAGATGGGGTCTGCGCCCGCCGCGGCTCCGACTCACCCCGGCCCAGCCCTCCGCGGGGCGAGCCCGACAAGAGAGCTGGGGACGGTCGGGTCTAGTTGGGAAAGACAGGGGTCCCTAACTCTAAAGAGTGGTCAGTCGTCCCCTCCTCCCATGCCTGCGGGGGTGATGGCTAAGGTTTTGGCAACGACCCCCCTCCCGGAGCTAGAGGGCCCCTCCAAAGGTTAAGCCAGGGCGGTCATTGAAGGCAAAACCCATCTGTAGTTTCTTGGGGTGCAGGTGCCTGCACTACTCTCAGAAAGTCGTCTCCCCCC